TGGCTGGATATCCAGTCCAAATACAAACTGGCCCAGAATTAGTTTCCACTTCCTATCCTTCCTTTTGCTGAAACAAATAAAAACTGAGATTCAGCTTGCAGAACTCCTGGCTTTGTGGGCAGGGTCCACAAGGCCATTCGCTAACCAAAGAGCACAGTACATAAGCAGCATGCAAGATGCAGCCAGATATTCTTTGGGATATTAATCTGACTCGATACCTCCAGTCAAGAAAGTTAATAATTATTTCCAAGTAACTTTTGTCAGACAGCTCTGCAATTGCTTAATTGCTTATATGCTGACTCAGGAGTGAGACCTCAGAGGCATTTCAGAGAAGATCCCCGCAGAGAAGAACATGAAAATAGATCAAAGCAGGTCTTGAAATACGCACTGTATTAGTTCCAAATGTAGCTTCCAGGTCAAACTGACACAGCAGAAACCCTGGCAATAATGAACTTGGCTTTTTAAGTGGCCATCAGAATTCAGCTTCTTACCTGGGTCTAGTCAGCTCTTGAAATCTTATTTCCAATTACTTTGCTCAAAGACTGGGAAAGACTTTCTATGTTACAATCATTAAGCTTCAAACTTGGCCATAAGGCAGAATTTGCCTGATATAAATAATGCCTGCTCAGAAGTTAATGGGATACTTTATTCATGGAGCAGTTCATTCATGACAGTTCCACCTACTTAGCAATATGCAAGTGAAGAAAACGTTTGAAGACTTATTATCCTCTGCTCATGCCAATACATGTTGTCTACAGAATGCTCTTCTGTGAAAACTTCTGTGTTAAAACTACTACCATAGCATATTGAGGATGCCATGAGCAACACCTAATGCTTCCTTCAGCGTGGACTTAATTCTAAAACCAAAGTCAAGTTATATTTTAAAAATCTCCCCTGGAATAATCAGGATTTCAGGACTGAGCCCTGTGACTCAAACAGAATACATCACATTTACTCTTTGCTTTTTTCCAGGTTGAAACAAAGAGCAATTGGAAAGCATACAAGACCTGCCACAGAGATAAGGCAGCTGCAATTTTTAGCACTAAGAGCTTACTAAAATTTCAGCATTCTGAGTAATATTATAAAATCATAGAGGGAAAGA